GGGGGGGCAGGCAGAGAGTTCAGCATCCTCACGGCCTGATGGACGGAGCTGTTCCACAGTCTGCTGGTCCTAGAACTGAGGCTACGCAGTCTCCGCCCTAATGGCAGCAGGTTGAAGAAGCAGTGTAGCGGGTGGTCAAGATCTCCCACCCAGCAGAGGGCTTTACTTCTGAGGCGAGAGCTGTGGAGGTCCTGAAGGCAGGGGAGAGAGGTGCCAATGATCTTCTCAGCTGTCCTCACGATCCGCTGGAGGGATTTGCGGCAGGATGCTGTGCAGGCCCCGTACCACACAGTGGAGCAGCTCATCAGGATGCTCTCGATGGCCCCCCTGTAGAAGGTTGTCATGATGGGGGTGGGGGCTCTCGCTCTTCTCAGCTTGCGGAGGAAGTAGAGCCGTTGGTGAGCCTTTTTGGCCACTGCTGCTGTGTTGATGGTCCAGGAGAGGTCCTCAGAGATGTGCACACCCAGGAACTTGGTGCTGCTCACCCTTTCCACAACAACACCGTTGATGGATAGTGGAGCATGTTTTGTCTGTGTTCTCCTGAAGTCCACAACAATCTCCTTGGTCTTCTCTGTGTTCAGCAAGAGATTGTTGCGTTTGCACCAGGAGACCAGCCGGCTCACCTCGCTCCTGTAGAGTGACTCATCGTTGTTGCTGATGAGGCCTACCACAGTCGTGTCGTCCGCAAACTTGATGAAGAGGTTGGAGGGGTGTGATGGAGAGCAGTCGTAGGTTAGTAGAGTGAACAGAAGGGGGCTCAGCACACATCCTTGTGGGGCCCCCGTGTTCAGAGTGATGATGCTGGATGTGTTGCTGCCAACCCGTACTGCCTGTGGTCTTCCGGTAAGGAAGTCAAGCAGCCAGTTGCACAGTGATGTGTTCAGACCCAGACTGTCCAGTTTCCAGATGAGTTGTTGTGGAATGATTGTGTTGAATGCAGAACTGAAGTCGATGAAGAGCATTCTGACATAGGTGTCTTTCTTGTCCAAATGTGTGAGGGCTGAATGAAGAGCAGTGGCGACGGCATCATCAGTCGAGCGGTTTGACCGATATGCAAACTGGTAGGGGTCCAGGGAGGGGGGGAGGGAGGACCTAATGTGTTGCATGACTAGTCGCTCGAAGCACTTCATGAGGATGGAAGTGAGTGCAACCGGGCGGTAGTCGTTGAAGCAGGAGGGAGACGTTTTCTTGGGGACAGGGATTATGGTGGTGGTTTTGAAGCACGTGGGGACCACAGCCTGGCTCAGTGAGGTGTTGAAGATGTCAGAGTACACCTCTGCTAATTCGCCAGCGCAGTCCTTCAGCACGCGACCAGGTATGTTGTCGGGACCAGGAGCTTTCCGAGCGTTGATCTTGCTGAATGCTCTCCTCACCTTGTCCGGGGACAGTGTGATCACCTGGTCTCCAGGAGGAGGGGTGGCTTTTTGTGCAGGTGTGCCATTCTGTGCCTCAAACCGAGCGAAGAACCTGTTCAGGTCATTCAGCAGGGAGGGGGTGCTGTCACAGGTCTGTGGAGAGGGTTTGTAGTCTGTAATGGACTGAATTCCCTGCCACAGGCTCCGAGAGTCTCTGCTGTCCTTGAAGTGTTGGGCTATTTTCTTGGAGTGCTGCCTCTTAGCTTTTTTAATGCCTCTGGACAGGTTGGCCCTAGCTGTCTTCAGGCCTGCCTGGTCTCCAGCGGCGAAGGCAGCATTCCTAGCCTTCAGCAGCTTGTGGACCTCTCCTGTCAGCCATGGCTTCTGATTAGCACGGATGGTGATGGTCTTCAGGACAGTTACATCATCAATGCACTTTGTGATATAAGCAGAGACAGTTTCTGTGTACTCCTGAATGTCAGTGAAGTTGTTGTGAGTAGCAGCCATTTTAAACACATTCCAGTCCGTGGTGCTAAAACAGTCCTGGAGTGGAGATTGCTCCAGTCCACAGATTGCTCCAACCCACATAGATTGCTCCTACTCACAGATTGCTCCAACCCACATAGATTGCTCCAACACACAGATTGCTCCAGCCCACACAGATTTATCCAACCCACACAGATTGCTCCAACCCACATATATTGCTCCAACCCACATAGATTGCTCCAAC